CGAATTCTATTTCAGCTGCTTCCTAGCGCATGACAGTGAAGACGCTGACCTGTCTCCAAAGTTAGACCGATATCAACACCACACTTTCTCTGCAGCACGAATGTGAAAGATGGAAGAAGGCACCAAATGCATCAACACAATGACACATGTGCTCAATAAATGCTCGTTATTCAATTGTGGTTGTGAACGAGAGCATTCGGTTTTCAAATAATATTTTTGGTTTGGCAATAAATACAGATACATTTTCCACACTACAGCCAATATCTTTAAAGTTCTGGGAAATTAATTCATTTAACATTTATGAAACTTTAAAACCTCTTCTAGGGGCTGGCCTGATAGCTCAGTGGACTAAAGCTCCTGCTTAGGCAGAGGGCAGCGACCAGGGTTCTATCCCAGGCCTGCCGTGCCGGCCCTGCCCCTAGGGCGCCCTGAGAGGACCATTGATACTGGGCGTGGGGTCGCGGGGTAGACCCTGTCCTAAATACAGGATAAATAAATAAATATTTCTTCTAATCCTCAAGCTCTCACTTTCCTTTTAATCGTGTTATACCTTTCTATTTCTATGTCTTCTTTTGAGTTCTTATACTTGGGAGACTATGTGATATTTACACATGTGTGTCTGGTTTATTTCCCTTATGAGTATACCTTCAAGTGGCATCCACTGCAATATAAAGGCTTTGAGTTTATCATTCTTTATAGCTGAGTAATACTCCATTGTATAAAAATACCACATCTTTTTCATTCATTCCTGAGTGATGGGTATCTTGGTTGTTTCCAAGGTTTGGCTATCACAACTTGTGCTGCTATAAACATAGGTAAACATATATAACTATGATATGACATTTTCAGTTCCTCTGGGAAAATTCTCAGTAGGGTGTTAGCTGTTTTGAATGAGATTTCCATTCCTAGTTTTTCAAGGAGTCTCCACACTGATTTCTATAATGGTTGCACCAGTCTACATTCCCACCAGCAGTGAAGAGTTCCTTTTTCCCCACAGCCTCTCCAGTATTTGTTGTTGGTTGATTTCTTTATGATAGACATTCCTTCTAGGGTGAGAAAGTATCTCAGTGTTGTTTTAATTTGCATCTCATGGATGGCTAGTGATGTGGAGCATTTTTTCGTGTATTTATTAGCTTCTTTATTTTCATCCTTTGAGAAGTGTGTTCATATCAGATGCCCATTTCTGGATTGGGTCTTTAAATTGGGGGCCCTAGTGTTTTTTAGTTCTTTATAAATTCTAGAGAGCAGACCTTTGTCTGAGTGCTTATTAGTCAAGATTTTTTCCAAATTTGTGGGTTGTCTTTTAACTTTGCTGGTAATTTCTTTTGACATGCAAAAACTTCTCAGTAAGAGGAGGTCCCAGTTGTTAATTCTTTCTAGTATTGCCTGTGCGATCTGATTTTTGTCCATGAACAGTTTCCCTACCCCTATGTCTTCAAAAGTTGCTCCTAATTTTCTCTTCCACGAGATTTCATGCTTCTGTTTTAATGTTTAGATCTTTAATCCATTTTGACTTTAGCTTAGTGCACGGTGATAGACCTGGGTCAAGTTTTAGTTTTTGGCATGGAGAAAGCCAGTGTTTCCAGCACATTTGTTAAAGAGGCTTATCTTTCTTCAAGTAAGCATGTTTGGCCCCTTTGTCAACTACAAAGTGTCTGAGTGTGTTCATAGAGAATTCTGCATCTTCTAATCTACTCCACTGATACCTAGTTCTATTTCATTGCCCGTACCATGCTGATTTTATCACAGTAGCTTTATAGTATAATTTCAAGCCAGGAATTGTGGTGCCTCCTGCCTTGTCTTTGTTTCCCAGGATTGCCTTTGCGATTCTAGTTCTTTTCTGGTTCCAAATAAATTTTAGGAACGATTTTTCTAGGTCTGGGAGGTATGGTGGTGGTAGTTGGATAAGGATTGCATTAAATCTGCACAGCAATTTTGGGAATATGGCCATCTTCACAATGTTGGTTCTTCCTATCAAGGAGCAAGGAATATCTTTCCATTTTCTGAAATCCTCTACCATCTCTTTTTTCAGAGTACTGTAATTTTCTATGAAAAGATCTTTGACTTCTTTACTTAGATGAATTCCAAGGAATTTCATTTTCCTCCATGTTATTGTAAAAGGTATTTTTTCTATAATGTCCTTCTCAGTGTGTTTGTTATCTGTGTAGAGGAATTCTATTGACTTTTGGGTATTGGCTTTGTATCCCACTATGCTACTGAATTTATGTATTAATCCTAGTATCTTCTAGGTGGAGTTTTTGTGTCTTCCAAGTAAAGTATCATGTCATCTCCAAATAATGATAATTTAGCTTCTTATTTACCTATTCTTATTCCTTTTATTTCTCTCTCTTGTCTAATGGCTCTAGTTAATAATCCTTGAACTATATTGAATAGGAGTGGTGAAAGACGACATCCTTGTCTTGTACAAGATCTGAGAGTAAAAGATTTCAGATTTTCCCCATTTAGAATTATGTTAGCCATTTGGTTGTCATAGATGGCTTTTATCAGATTGAAGTAGAGGCCATCTATGCCAATTTTCTGTAGGACTTTGAACATGAATGAGTGTTGGACTTTGTCAAAAACCTTTTCTTCATCAAATGAGATGATCATGTGGTTTTGAGTTTTCGCTGTATTGATAAAGTGTATTACATTTTTATATTTGCATGCATTGAACCACCCTTACATCTCTGGCATGAATCCTACTTTGGTCATTTATTCTTAATGATTTGCTGTATTCTATTTGCTAGGATTTTATTGAGGATTTTTGCATCTATATTCATGAGGGGGATTGGCCTGTAGTTCTCTTTTTTAGTTTTATCTTTCCCTGGTTTTGGTATGAGAATAATACTTGCCTCCAGGAATGATTTTGGACGGATTGCTACCTTTTCAATTTCATTGAAGAGTTGGAGAAGTATAGAGACAGTATCTTTGGTAAATTACTTGTAGAATTCATCTGTGAATCCATCAGGATCTGGACTTTTCTTTGTAGGTTTTCTATTAAATTTCATATTTCATTGCCTGTTATTGGGTTATTGAAAATTGTTATACATTTTGATTCAGCTTTGATAACTTGTACCTTTCTTGGAATCTATTTCATCTGTTTCTTCTATTCCGTGAGAGTAAAGATTCTCAAAGTAGCTATTGATAATCTTCTGAATTTCCCCTGGGTCTGTGGTAATTACACCCTTTTCATTCCATATTGCTTATATTTGAATTTCTCTTTCCTCTTTTTGATGAGGTTAGCTAAGAGCTTATCAGTTTTATTTAATCTTTCAAGAAACAGCATTTTGATTCATTAATTCTTTGAACTATTTTCTTCATCTCAATTGAATTAATTTCTGCTCTAATCTTTATTATTTCTTCCGGTCTTTGGGCTCTGGGTTTGGTTTGCTCTTCCTTTTCTAGATGTTGGAGGTGCAACATTAGAGTGTTTATTTGTTCACATTCTGTTTTCCTAATGTGTGAGTTCACAGCTATAAATTTCCCTCTGAGAACTGCTTTCATCTCGTCCCATAAATTCTGATAAATTGTGCTTGAATTTTCATCAAATTTTATTTTTTTATGAGCAGAACATATTTATTGGGAGAAAGAAAGCTCCTGTCCGAGAGAGGAAGGAGGGCCTGAGTGAGTTGTCCTCTGAATTTTAGACATTGTTCAGTTTCTTGTTTAATTTCATCTGTGACTCATTGGTTGCTGAATAGAGTGTTTTTTAATTTCCATGTACTTATGGTTTTTTTTCTGGTTTCTTTTGTCATTTATTTCCTGTTTCATTGCATTGTGGTCAAATAATACGCATACAAGAATTTCTGTTTTCTTGAATATACTTAAACATCACATGTGGACTAGTATGTGGTCTACTTTAGAAAATGACCCATTTGAAGCTGAAAAAAATGTGTATTTAGCTGTGGTTCGGTGAACAGTCTGTATTTGCCCACTAAGTCCATTTGTTCTAAGATCTGATTCAGTTCTGCTATTTCTTTGATAGTCTGTTGTCTACTTGACCTATCTTTTTGGGATAAGGGGGTGTTAAGTTCTCCTGTTAAGATTGTGGTATTGGATATTAGACTTTCCATGTCCATTAAGAATTGTCTTATATAGTTGGGTGCTCCCGTGTTTGGTGAGTACATGTTTATGAATGTTACCTCTTCCTCTTGAACTTTTCCCCTGACCAGTATATAGTGGTCTTGTTTATTTCACTTGATCATTCTTGGTTTGAAGTTGAGGTTGTCTGAGAACAGGATTGCTACCCATGCTTTTTTCTGAGGTGCTGGGGCATGTAGTATTGTTTTCCATCCTTTGACTTTCAAGCTGTGAATTTCTTTATGAGTTAAGTGTGTTTCTTGTATACAGAATATTCTTGGATTTTGTTTCCTAATCCACTGTGCCAATCTATTTCTCTTAATTGATGAATTGAGTCAATTTACATTGATGGTTATAATTGAGATGTATTGACTTATGGTTGACATGTTATTTACCTGCTATTGTTTACTCTTTCTCTGTGTTTAATTGTTTGCCCTATTTAGTGGGTTCTTTCTGTTCTTGTTCGTGGAGATCTGATCATTTTGGTCCCTCTCTAGAACATCTTTCAGTAGCCTGTGTAGGGTTGGCTTTGTCATCATGAAATTCCTTAGTTGTTCTTTGTTATGGAAGTGTTTCACTTCTCCATCAAACTTGAAAGAGAGTTTTGCAGGGTATAGTAGTGTGGGCTGGAATTTGTTTTCATAGAGGACTTGAAGTACTCTGCTCCATGCTCTTCTTGCCTTTGTGGTTTGTGAAGAGAAGTCGGCTGTAATTCTGATGGTTTTTCTTTGAATGTGATCTGCTTCTTTTCTCTAGAGGCTTTCAGTATATTGTTCTTGTGCTGGATTTCTGGGATCTTGACTATTATATGTCTTGGTGTGTTTTTATTTGGGTTGAAGTTATTTGGAGTTCTGTATGCTGCAGTTAGGGAATGTCAGATTGGTTTCTCATATTGAGGAAGTTTTCCGCTATTACTTTTGAGAAATGTGGAGCACGTCATGAATTTGCATGTCATCCTTGCACAGGAGCCGCGACAATCTTCTCTGTATCATTCCTGTTTTAGGGTATGTGGTGCCAGAGCAAGAACACTTGTTTGGATTTCAGCTTCCAGTGATTCATGGGATTCTCACAAAGAGCTTTGTCTATAATTTTTTTTTAATTTTAACTTTTTTCTGTGAAAATCAAAATTGTGCTGAATAGGTAAGTTTCTTTTGTAAGAATATGAAGAGAAAAATTAATGTTTTAATATATTTGACTAAAATTTTTGAGGGAAACGATATTCTGCATTTTTCCAGCATGGACTACGCAGTTACAATATCAACCGGAGAAGAATGCTAATTTCGTTTCTTACACAGGTTAGAACGAATGCACAAATCAGTCCCCATTTTTGTTTGTTTTGTTTTGTTTTTGGTACCAAAGATGGAACTCAGGACCTTGCACTTGCCAGGCAGGCACTTGTGCGTCTGAGCTAGCTCCCTGCCCCAGACATCACTATCCTAATGCCAGGTGTGTGTGTGTGTGTGTGTGTGTGTGTGTGTGTGTGCGTGATCCAACAGATGATGAGTTGAGCAGATTGAGCAGCTGTGTTGTTTCACTTCAGTTTTCCTCATTATTAGCTGTTAAAAACAAAGCCCTGTTCAGCTATTCGATCAAAGTAATTCGCTCATGACATTTTGCCTTTTAATGTGTCTTGTGACCTTGCTGAAATCTAGCTATTAAGCCACCAGTTTTGTAGGTCATTTAGCACAGCAGTGACCTACTGCCCTCTAGCTCTGCTCTAGGTAGCGCCTATTCTCTGTCCAACTCTTAGGAGCCAGCATAAGTATGTAAACTAGCTTGGTTTAATTACCTTTACTGTATTATAATTTTGGAGGTATCAGAACAAGATCATACATAATATCATTTCCTGTTGTATGGGCAATTCTTTCTCAAGTTAGAAAGTTATCTCATTTTTACTTAGTAAGTTACTTGGTTTTTACTGAAGTACTTTTTCTCCAAACTCTTACAGAGTCGTGAATGTGGTATCAAGATGGATATGCAAAAATTTCGTTTTCATACGATGGGCATCGTTGTTGGGCCCTCTCTTCTGCTGCTGCAAGGAAAACCGACTTTCCCTATCTGCTTACCGCAAAATTGAAAGCATCTTGATACGCTTGGCTCCGCGTCCCGCCCCTGGGCTCCGCGGGTCTTGGTCTCTGTTGCTACCGTAGTTGCCTGCTGCTCAGACACAGTGATGTCAAGTCCCGCTCAGCGGCGGCCCGAAGCTCTGACTACAAGTTCTAGAGGAAAAGTTTGGTTCTGGATTTTAGACTTCATAGAACAGGGACTAGCGGAGGCCTAGCTGTTTTTCACTAACCTTCAAGTTTTAATCTGCATAGATGTTTTTCTCTCGCTCTGGTGACTTCTGAGGAAATTCTTGCAGCCAGAATTCCGAGAGACACACAGCGAGCCCGCTGAGCACCGAGCGCCTGCGCGCCGGAGGCTGCACGGGACCGCGCTGTCGCCCTCGCCTGTCCACGTCTGGGGTCTGAGAGTCCCGGCAGAGCCGTCGGCCCGGCTTCCTTGTCCTCCCATGGTCCAAAATTGCGCAAATAAACTGATTGCTTTCTTCATCCTTCTTTCTTTTCTCTTCACCTCAATTTCTAAGTGTCAAATTAAGGTTGTTAGATGGTGTGAAAATATTTCAAAAAGGAAAAGAAATTTGTCCTGATAAGTTATTCAAAAGCAATGGTGTCAATAAGAGGTCTAGGAATTCCCCTTTGAAAATAATGAAACCTCCACAGATGCAGCAATTTTACTCTTGTACCCCTAATTAACTCTTTTTTTATGAGCAGAATATATTTATTGAAAGAAAGCTCCTGTCCAAGAGAGGGCCAGGAGGGGGACCCGAGCGGTGGCTCCTCGACTAATTAACACTTAAATCAAAGGTAAGGAAGCGCCTTAAACTTCACAGGGTAAGGATCCTTAGTGGTGTATTAATTTTTAATTCATTAATTCATTTCTATGGCAGCACTATTTTGATTAATATTCAAAACATATTTAAAAACTTTTCTTCTCAAACAAAAGATACTACCTTGTTGCTAATAAATTAATGCCAGATGTTCTATTTAAAAATTTAGCTGTAATTCAGTTAATAATGTACTAATATTCTTGCTGAGTGATTTAAGAGGTTAAGTTCATATTTTAATTTCTTTGGCGTTTGAGATGTTTTACTATCTGGAAAAAAAGAAACACCAACTTCTCCCTATTTGGGGAGCAGATGAAATGCTGAATTTCAATGAAAAATTATTTTTATTACTTGAGCCATTCCCTTAATAAAATTAGGATGTCTGTCACAGTCAATCTTTTCATTACAGTCTAAGTAGAGGTCCCTTCAGGAGGTGGAAGACCACCCAAGTAGCAAACATTGATTGCAATGCCCCTTAGCAAAATTACAGTAAAAGGAACACTTTCACAAGTTCTCAGGGTTGTGGGGCTGTCCACCCCCTTTATTTACGTATTTGCTGCAGAGTCTCATTACCCAGCTCAGCCTCCTTTGTAGTCATCCTCCTGTTCAGTCTCTCTGGTGCTGGCATTACAGACATGGGCCACCACACCTGGACTTGGCACCAGCACAGCATGCCCTGGGGGTGGGCCTGGCATGGCGCACAGGACGGGGGATTGAACCTTCATCTCTGAGCTTGCCAAAGCAGTCACTTAATCCACTGAGCATAGTTGCAGGCCCTGTCTACCCCGTTTAGATTTTGAAATATTCAATAGTTTGCCATCATGGTTTAGACATGGGGTATCCTCAAAAACTCACAGTTCTGAAGGTGACTGGAGCTGCTGGCTGGAGCTGCGGACGTGACCTGGAAGGATGTTTCCCTCTTGGCTCTTCCCTGTTTCCGATGCCTGATCACTGTGCGTGAACATCTTTCTCTGCAGAACCTTTCCACCCTCTTCTTTCTGCTTGGGAAGCAGCTAACTATGGCTAGCAATATGAGCTAGATTAAACCTCCCCTCCTAAGGATTAGGGTATTTCATTTTCTTGATGAATAAGGGCAGTGTCATCATTTAGCAAAAGCAAGCAAAGCAATGGGGTTCGAGCTTTGTAACATTATATCCAAAGCCCGCTGGTGTCCTGCACTACTATTCAACAAGAGTATTACATCTTTCAGGACCCTTGGAGCCCGTTCATACAGACAGATAATTAATCTACCTGCGTGATTCTTTGAATATAACTCCTGATTCAAAAATGTACCTGTGAGCAAATTACTTAAAATTAAGGAGTTTTATAAAAATCTCTTTGATATAGAAAAGGTAAAGCTAAGAAAGTAAGACAGCCTGCTAATATTCCATTTAGAGAAAAAAGATTATCACAGAAAGTTCCTGATGGTGACATTTTTCAGGCTTTCACCTTGACTAACGGCAGTTCCACCTTAGGTTAACGGTTTAGTTGGTTTGAGGACCACTCTTTGGGCCCGTAGAATTCTTCACTTTTCTTCTCAGTAAAAACATTATGTTAAAATTAATACACTAATCGCAAGCTATTGAACTTAGAAGAGCCATCACTTAACAAAGGTTCACGCCTGTCACTTACTCTCCACGGAGACTTGCACATGCCTTCTGATTAGAAGGAAGGCATTGGTGAACTCCTGTGCACATTGCTGCTGACGGACGAACGTGAAGATGCAACCGCCCAGCTGTTCGCAGTCGACACCCACCTTCATCCATTCAACTTACCTGCTGCCTTCGGCACCACAGGGAGTCAGCACTGCAGAACTGGGTCATGCGTGCAACTGTTAAAATTTAAATATTAACTGACTTAACATACATTTTAAATTTAGCACCTCATTTGCCCTCGCCACAGAATCAACTGCTCCATCGCCACATAAAGCAGGGCGCCAACATGTTGGGCAGCATAAATATACCGTGTTTCCATCACGATCTGTCAGAAAATTCTGTTGGAAAGCACTGCGTCAGAGCTATGTTTCTTTATATATTCATAACAGCAATAAAGCTTTTAAAAATATAGATGGCCTAGTACTATCCAGTTCAATCAGAATGCGTCATGGTGGCAACAAGATATAAACATTTGTGCCAGGGAGATAGCTCAGAAGAATAAGTGCTTGCCTGGCAAGCACAGGGTCCTGAGTTCAATCCCTGGTACTGAAAAAAAAAATAGAAAAAGAAAAATATATAAACATTTTTCAAGATTCTTCACCCCATGCAGATGCCTAATGATTCTAAGGGAACTTGTTTAAGATTTAATTTTATAAAGTAAAATTATTTCTTAAATCTACATCTTCCTTTTGACACATATACTTGTACTTAGCATTTAAAGATGACAAAAATTTTCTCTTTAAACCAAATAAAATTTCCCAAAATAGCAATTATGAGAATGACAAAAGCAGGCATGCCTCCACTTAGTTCAGACCCAACTCTCTCCACCATTCATCGCTATTATTAGCTGACAGTAAGCACGCCCTTCCTACCTTCCGTGTCCCTTAGAAGTCTCCAGCTAGGGCCCAAGTCTGTGTGCTGCTTCCGAAGCTGTGGAGCCGAGGCTGAGGACTTCCACGTGGACGCCATGTGTTTGGCTCAGGATTCTGATTGCTGTGGGGTCCAAACGTCACGCGCCAGCTTGTGACCTCATCATAGCACAGTGGGCGAGTGGGAAGGCGCAGCCACGTGCATAAGAGGCAGCAGCCCATGGGAGAGCACGGAGGTGAACACTCAGAAGGCAGGCTCGCGCTTTGGACCACAGTCTGCTGTGGTGCGAGCTAAGCAAGGTCCATGACACCTACGTTCAACTCTTCTGGGGTTTGTGCCTGAGAGATCTAGCCTTGTCTGTGAGGGCCTGCCTTTTAAATGTTTCATCTGTAAGACCATGTGACACAGGAGGCCAAGCCTCCGTATGTGGGGCCCTGAGAGGCGTTCCTGAGCCACGTCAGACTTGAGTCCTGTCCTCACCAGTTCTAACTCTGCTTCCACGTGCCAGGTACTCATCACAGTGCTGCCTCCCTTCTTGGTACCAAAATGGGTTTTCATCTGGCTTCTCCTGAGAAAGGGAACCAACAGAACCAAGTCTAAATGGCTGGCCGACACGG